AATGTCTCATGCACCGGTTTTAGCACTGCTTTTTGCAAAGCATCACACCCTCGGCGTTGTCGTCATAACGAAGGCGGAACCCAGCAGACTGACACACCTACAATTAGCATTACGCGCTTATCTCTTCAATCGGTTTACGTTAGCTTTGCTTGTAACAGAAAGCAAATATCAAATCGCACCGAGTTCTATTGCATAAGTCACAAAATGCTTCATTTCATATCAGTAGCATATGGTGTTGCACTTGACGCCTCAGTACAGAAAATTTATTTATAACAAATGGCAGGCGTTTTGATAGTTATCATTAGACCTTTAGTTGACTTCGGGCTTCACAGAGGGGAGGAGGAACATCAAAGTGAGAAGAATTCACGAGGGGGAATAGAAGGGTGTTTCAAAGATATAAAAGAAACAGACACCAAGGCTCAGAAAGGGTAAGATGAGTAGTGGTAGGGGTCGAATATGGCATACAGTGGGGGTGATGGTTGTTTGAAGTGAGAAGTCAACTGCCGATTAATAGACTTTTTGTCGCATGAGTTCACCACGTGGAGGTAAGTCTATCGCACACCCCCAGTACAGAAAATTAATGATGAACTATTACTTGAAACATTGCTTTATTTTAAATGAGATTTTGATAATTAGAAAATGTATGAAACTTATTTTCCCATTTGTTAGAGTTTTCCACGTAAAGTTATCATTCTAGTTAAAATTTTCCCAATACTTTTGCTATTTATACAGATAAATCAGATGAAATAACTTTGAAAAGGCAAGAAATACACTTTTGGATAGTTAGTAACGACAATAAGGCTGTATATTTTTCAGTATCTTTAATATCAATAGCCATATACTATACATTTCGTCAAAAAAGTTAAACTCGCACTATGCCGATATTTAACATTTCTAGTCATATCAGTTTTATTTGAAAATGATCATTATTTCGACTTTGATTATCTGGTGAGGGATCAAGCAGTTATTTTTCATGCATTAAGCTCAGCAACCACAATTAGAAAAACGGAACAGCGACTGATGAATGTTGAAGCCAAACATGTGTGTAGCTGATTGCTACAGGGTCATCAAGTCTTGACTTATGCGCAGCAATTCCTACGGCTCGTTCTCCTAGTTTGGCCTGGTTCACAGGATTAGCCAAGCTACGTCAAAGATATCGAGGAAACAGATGTATGGCATGGAATACGTTTTTGTTTAGGAATGTTTGTGCCGTAGAGAAAGGGTCGTTAAAACACAATGAAATGTCTGTTAAACAATGCAGGGACTGTTGATTTGTGGCTGGTTGAGAGGTCACTGCGCCCACGACCGCACTCGCTCCCCACACGACAAGTAACACGACGACACCTTCGAGTCCAATTGATTTATGGAGGCATAAGAACTTTTCTAGCAAACTACTTTATAATAAAGGTTTTCTTGTGATGTGTTACATTTATTGGCATAAGCTATTATAGTAGACGAAGTAAATTAATGGAGACTTGGCTCTGCCTAAATTTTCCCAATTTTATGACTGACCCCATGCTTAATTTATTTATTTATTCGAAGTGTGGGAAGCGTCTCTGTAACCTTAACAATGAAGTATTCCAAAATACGTGAAAAGGGGGAAGACTCGAGCAAAACTGGCAATCATCTTTGGAGACCAAGAATTCACCTGCATTCTAGTTCCACATGCACTGGGTCGTCTCCTGAAATGTCACAATTTTCATGTTCATTGCTATGAAACCAACGATTATGATGGACATGACCAGAACATTCGGTGATATATCGTGTCACATCGATTTATTTAGGTCTTTTAGATATTTATGCATAAAGGAGAGTGGCTAAGAAAATTCTGCTATGGTAGAATTAACAAACGTTCACATACACAGCACTTCATCCTGAATTTCGCTTAGTTTGGCCAACAGCTGGAAAAATGTGATAGTTGAACAAGGCGCCAAGTATGCCATGTAGAATGTAGAATGATAGGTCAATTTAATTGTCAAAAGAAGGACAACCTAACGTGCCTGGTTAATCACTCAAATTTATTGTCTAAAATTTAAGGAAATTTTATGTCTGCATAATTTTCAAGTGTTCTCACTCAAATGTCACATATGTTGTCGTAGTATGAACACTAGTCGGTTAAAAACTTTTGCCTACTAGGAGAAATTAAGGGTGTCCGAGGCGAGTCCGTTCGAGTAGCACCAAGGGGCCAATTAAAGTAGCTCCAACATTGGAAAAAAATCGAATGACCCACTAGTTTAAATCGTATTACTATCAATTTTGACAAAAAAGTTGTAAATATCTCTAATTCACTGGTTAAAAACTTCTGTTTCTCCCCCCCCCCTCCTCTCGACATTTTTCACTTTGATGTTCCTTCCCCTCTGTGAAACCTGAAGTCAACTAAAGGGCTAATGATAACCAACAAAACGCCTGCCATTTGTTACAAATAAAGATTTGTATAGTTGCCACGCAATACTTATCTTCGCGCGTTTTGCTCTGCTTCCATATATTTGCATGCGAAAGACAACATCTTTGACTTCAGCTTCCCCCAAGAGGGGGGGGGGTACATCCTTTGACTTCAGCTTAGGCAGTTAATTAATAGCAGTTCATTAGCAGTCTTCTTGCTTAACAGTATCTCTGGCTTTCCGTCCTTGTCTTTAGAGCTGGATATAGCAGTTAATTATAGAAATTCATTAGCTGTCTTCTTCGTTCATGAAGGGGGGTACATTTATAGCAGTTAATTAATAGCAGTTCATTTAGCTGTCTTCTTGCTTCCCAGTATTTTTGGCTTTCCGTCCTCGTCTCTTCTTGCTTCCCAGTATCTCTGGCTTTCCGTCGTTGTCTCGTCTTGCTTCCCAGTATCTCTGGCTTTCTATGTAGCAGTTAATTAATAGCAATTCATTAGCTGTCTTCTTGCGGCAGTTAATTAATAGCAGTTCATTAGCAGTCTTCTTGCTTAACAGTATCTCTGGCTTTCCGTCCTTGTCTTTAGAGCTGGATTACATTTATAGCGGTTAATTAATAGCAGTTCATTAGCAGTCTTCTTGCTTCCCCGTACTCTGCTTTCAGCTCATTAGCTGTCTTCTTGCTTCCCAGTATCTCTGGCTTTCTTGCTTGTCTTTAGAGCTGGACACCGAATCAGGTGGGTCTTCGTTTTCCCTCTTCTTGCTTCCCAGTATCTCTGGCTTTCCGTCGTTGTCTCGTCTTGCTTCCCAGTATCTCTGGCTTTTTTTTGCTTCCCAGTATCTCTGGGTTTCCGTCGTTGTCTTTAGTGCTGGACACCAAATCAGGTGGGTCTTCTTCATTTTCTCCTGTGGGACACCGAATCAGGTGGGTCTTCTCCATTTCCTCTTGAAGGTTACATAGGGGGCATGTGGGTTGAGTGTATACTCCCAAGGCTACATAGGGGGCATGTGGGTTGAGTGTATACTCCCAATCCAGAGGGCATGTGGGTTGAGTGTATACTCCCAGTCTGTGAAAGGGCATATGGGTTGAGTGTATACTCCCAATCTGTGAAGGGGGCATGTGGGTTGAGTGTATACTCCCAATCTGTGAAGGTCCATGTGGGTTGAGTGTATACTCCCAATCTGTGAAGGTGTACATGTGAGTTGAGTGTATACTCCCAATCTGTGAAGGTGTTTATAGGCAATCGTGTTCGGTACGTAGTCTAAACTCATCAACGGTTGTCCAGTACGTAGTCTAAACTCAGCAACGGCTCGTATACTCCCAATCTGTGAAGGTGTTTTGCCAAGCAATCGTTAGGTTACATAGAGGGCATGTGGGTTGAGTGTATACTCCCCTCTGTGAAGGTGTTTTGCCAAGCAATCGTGTCCGGTACGTTTGTGAGGGTTTTTTGCCAAGCAATCGTGTCCGGTACGTAGTCTAAACGGCTCTGTCCGATACGTAGTCTAAACTCAGCAACGGCTTCGATTCTCGCCGCCGGGTATGTCGGAGAGTGCCACTGTCCACTATTTCTCCTCTATGTGGTAGAGTGCCACTCTCCACTGTTTTTCCTTTGTTCGAACTTTAAGTTCGTTGCAATCGGAGAGTGCCACTGTCCACTGTTTCTCCTTTGTACGAGCTGAGTGCCACTGTCCACTGTTTCTCCTTTGTTGTTTAAGTTCGTTGCACCTTGAGATCTTGAATTCTCTTCTGATCGGGAGAGTGCCACTGTCCACTGTTTCCCCTTTGTTTCCACTGTCCACTGTTTCTCCTTTGTTGTTTAAGTTCGTTGCACCTTGAGATCTTGAATTCTCTTCTGATCGGGAGAGTGCCACTGTCCACTGTTTCTCATTTGTTCGAGCTCAAGTTCGTTGCACCTTGAGGTCTTGAACTCTCTTCTGATTAGTCCGTTGCAGGAGGTCTGGAATTCTCTCCTGATTAAGGCCTCCATTGTGTCCTTGAATGTAATTCTCTCCTGATTAAGGCCATCATTGTGTGGAAAGACATTCTGGAATTCTCTCCTGATTAAGGCCTTCATTGTGTGGAAAGACATCGGACGGTCCATGCATTGCAAACTCGTTCTCCGCTTCTTAGCGAGTGTGTCAACAAGCTCATTGCCTTTAATACCACAGTGACCAGGAATCCATTGTAGGACCTCTGTTTTGTTTTTCTCTCTCAGCAGCTGATACAGTTTTCTACATTCCTTTATCTCAGCTGTTTTGGGTGACTCTCTGTTTCCAATTGAGTTTATTGCTGACTTTGAGTCCGAAAGTATCACCACTTTGGTGAATTTCGTATCCAGGCAACATACTTGGCATAGTGCTATCCTAATGGTCTCTATTTCTCCTTCAAAAGCGGATCTATTGTGTCCCGCTGGTGCGTAGAAAGAGAAGAGTTCAGAATAGACACCTGCACCGACGTTTGCTTGGCTTTCTATGTATGACCCATCAGTGAAGACTTGGAGCCATTGATCTCCAGGATAGTTGACATTAATTGTCTCAAGGGCCAGTGAGCGCATTTGCTCTGGAGGGGGCAAAAGACAACATCTACATGTAAATATTCGATCTGTTTAAGTATCTAACTACGAGTTGAGATTATGCCATCTTATTATGTACGATTAGTCTATTCGAAGTTTACTATTATTTTCTAAAGTTCTTGCTATTCAGAATTCAACGTTCATTCTTTTCCCGATTCACCGAGTGCAACAATTCTCTCGATTCCTAAAGTTTTTTGACAGTCTTACTCCTTAATATGGTCAATGTTTCTCCACCGATTCATTATTCCAAGACAAAGAGCAAAAGAACGGCCTTTCTTTATCCCAATGATATTATACAAACTCAACGTAGCAGATTTCAGCCTACTTAATGCAGTGAATGAGTCGTATTAAGTGTTAACAGTACAGAATCTTTCAAAAAAAAAGAAATGCTTTCGAGCATGGACAGTTTTGACTTTTGCCCCACTTTTTCTTCCTCGGATTAACTTTGGGGTGTTCTTTACAAATACTTGACTATACCAAGCACTGAACTCCCCAAACATTGCAGAAGATTTAATTTGTTATGTGTTTCGTACTTCCAATTAATGACTATTTGCATTCTCTCCAAGTTAGTCAATACGAGAATAAATTTAGGAAATAAAATTGATGAAGAATTTTGTAGACTTTTATCTAGTCTTTTCCTTTTGCAAATCATTTTAACGAAACCAATCCGAGCAATGGACGAATATCTTTACCACAATTAAGTTAATTAAAAATGCCTTCCTTAAACCCCACCCCCATTATTTCTGAAATCTTTCCAATTTTTATGCATTATTTAGTACATTTTTCGGCAAGTATTCAGACTTGGCTCTTTGAGCTGTTAATTGGTACTTTCTCACACGTCATCACAGATATGAGCTAAGTGATCTAGTAGGAAAAAAAGTCCTCATTCTTCGCCAACAAAGATTTCATATGTCTCCAGATAAATGAAGAAAAATTGACCAATCTCCACATTAAATTAAATTGGTCTGAAGAGAATCCATTTTTCGACCTGTTGTTATGTGTGGTTAGTCATCGAAAGTAAGTTATGAAGAAGTAAACCTCCTGCGATATACACTTGCTAAGAAGGGGACAACAATTTTGCAAGGCAATGTCTTTCCACACAATGAAGGCCTTAATCAGGAGAGAATTTCAGACCTCAAGGTGCAACGAAATTAAAGCTCGAACAAAGGAGAAACAGTGGACAGTGGCACTCTCCGACATATCCGACTGGCCTGGAATCGAAGCCGTTGCTGAGTTTAGACTACGCACCGGACACGATTGCCTGGCCTAGCACCTCCACAGATTAGGAGTGTGCACTCAACCCACATGCCCCCTATGTAACCTACATGAGGAAATGGAGTCTGATTGTGAAACCTACAGGAGGAAATGGAGAAGACCCATCTGATTCTCTACAGGAGAAAATGGAGAAGACCCACCTGATTCGGTGTTCAAAGGAGGAAATGGAGAAGACCCACCTGATTCGGTGTCTAGCGGAGGAAATGGTGATGACCCACCTGATTCGGTGTCCAGCTCTAAAGACAACGCAGACCCACCTGATTCGGTGTCCAGCTCTAAAGACAAGGACATGGAGTCTGATTGTGAAACCTACAGGAGGAAATGGAGAAGACCCATCTGATTCTCTACAGGAGAAAATGGAGAAGACCCACCTGATTCGGTGTTCATCAAGAGGAAATGGAGAAGACCCACCTGATTCGGTGTCCCACTCTAAAGACAAGGACGGAAAGCCAGAGATACTGGGAAGCAACTAAAGACAACGACGGAAACACAGAGATACTGGGAAGCAAAAAGACAGCTAATGAATTGCTATTAATTAACTGCTATATATGTCAGACAGCTAACGCTGCTATTAATTAACTGCTATAAATGTCCCCTTCCGCTATTAATTAACTGCTATAAATGTACCCCCCATCCTTGGTGGAAGCTGAAATCAAAGTATAAGGGCTAATGATGAATATCACAAAGCCTGCCATTTGAAATAATAATAAACCTCCTGCGATATTGCCACAATTTTTAGAAAAGTAAGTTTGAATCTTATCTGCGTTCGTGCTTTGGCACACAAAATAATAATGAATAATGCAGAATTTGGCCTGACTTCAAGTCTTCTGGTCTAAACATCAATAGCTCCATGCCAGTAGACTGGAGATGTTTTAGTATCTCAATTTAAAATTGTGCAAATAATATATGAATTAATTTAGTCAGTTATGGCATGTGCTTAATTGCAAGTATTTTTACCTAAGCGGTTTTCGTGACCATAAACACCTGATCATATACCAGACTCTACTGTCATCAAGACGGGGTAATGATAAATATCATAAAGCCTGCCATTTGAAATAAATATACTGTCATCAAGATTAATTTTCCCAGTGGAAAAGTTCTTACTTTTATTGACAATCTTATAAATGTTTCAACCAGTAGAAACTTCGGATTAAATCATCAATCTGAAACTCGTTGAAATAGAGTACTAAGTTTAGAATTCTCTTACCTTCCCACGGAATACATTTTTACATCTACAAAATATTATTCACGGTTAGCTATGTTCTTTTATTTTAGTTTTTACCATCTAAAGGTGTTAATTAATCATCTAAAATGGTCAGTCGGTGGGTGCATGTTGGAGACCAAACACGAAATGTAACTCGGGAAAGGAAAGTGTAATCCTATTCGAACAAATGGTTGCGGGTCCCATAACTGAATGACAAGACTGAGTAATGGCTCGTCATTATTCCCTCCCCGAATCACGATAGTAATTTTCGATGGTTGAGCTAAATTTATGAACAAACATGTCAAAATTTGTATTATTACATTCTGAGATAAGATCACAACTACAGGTAACACCTCTTTCACTGTTACCACTTGATTCACTTATTTCCTGCCGGGATGATAATTTGTTAACTAGAACCTCCATACAATTTTTCCGTTTGGAATAAACTGAATAAAAACTTTCTCGTCTTTTAAATAGTGTTTAAGGCTATTATCAAACAATTTTATTGGAAAAACGAACATAAAGTCATTTTTCAAAAATCACTAGCCTTATAATTGAGTAAAATGGAGAGAACAAATTTTGTGCCCACTTTTCCTACTAACAACTAGTAAGTAGTACGAAGACAAAATGAGACTTATTGCAACCTTAAATCAACTCAACTGGATTTGAAGTGCATTAATTGCGAAGAGAGGGTGCGCACAAGCTTGATTCATAGAAATTTAGGAATCTATGTTGCCTGAGGACTGTAGATTCTACATAATTTTCTTTTCATTTGGGACTGCTTTGCTAAAATGACCAGTTAGTCTAAATATTTGCACACTTCTTATAATTAATTAAAGGTTATTAATAAATTGTGTAATAGTACGATCTTCGAATAAGGTGCGTCGTCAAATATGAAAGATATAATTAGTGTGTAAATCATCCTCCTATACCGAAACTCTATTCGAAAAGTGGTATGTTAATTACCAGTGAAATGTATTATTGGAAAATTTTGCGAACGTTTGTGTGAACTGAGATGATTCCACTATCTCCGTTGTTGTACAAGTAATAATGACAACAAATGACCTAGGGCCTTCTGTGAACAGTATAGGTTCAAATGCCATTTATCGGAATCTCTTTTGAAATTCCTACGCTTATACAATTTTAACGTATATCTTCAGCACCCTTTTGACGAATAAGAGTGAAAATCCCGAACCTCGAAGATCACATCTCCTTACTTACTCGTCATAACACTGATGAGAGATAATTGTCCTGGAAA